TCACAAATTGGCTCTAGAAAGCTATGGAAAATAATGTTGTTTGGATGCAATGATAATATGAATAAAGTGAAGTGAATTGATGAGAAAAGCAGACCCAAACACCCCTTTTTATAGTGCCAAAATAGGCTCCAACGGACCAATACATTAAAGGGGTGATTGGCTTGATTTATGGGATTGAATAAATTTGGGATCTGCAGGATATTGGCTTCCCATCGATGTTTGGAACTTACCCATCGCTGGTAAGCCAATTTTCCTTCAGTTTTGAAGCCAACGGTTACCTACCCATCGATGGGTAGATGCTTCCCATCGCTGGGTGGGAGGTTGACTTTCAAATAAGGAAAGAATCAGCCTTAAATGACTCGCAACGGTCATGCCTAACCATCGATGGTTAAGCCTTCCCATCGCTGGGTTCCCATCGATGGGTAAAGCTTCCCATCGCTGGGTAAGGGCATTCTGCCTTGTGGTAATGTTGCACCAAGGCTTTAACAGCGATGGGTAGAACTTCCCATCGCTGTTTGGCATGGTTCTGGAAATCAGTTTCGTTGAGGGACTGCTTACCCATCGATGGGAAGATCTTCCCATCGCTGGGTTGCATGATTCTGGAATCCCGGGATCACTTACCCATGCATGGGTGAAATCTACCATCGCAGGGTAGATGGCTAGCCCAGAACCATGGCCTAGCTGACCGGCGCTGAAACCCGACCGAAAAATGCAAAGTTCTCCAAAGTAAAACCTAAGTCTATAAAACACTTATTTAATGTATTTTGATGTCAAAACAAGCTTTGTAAGTTGAAAACCACGTCGTTAAGGTAAAAACCACGGTTGACCAAGTCAACACCGTACACGGGTGGTTTTCACCAAAAGACAAAACCGAAAGGTGGTTTTCATGATGTTTTGATTGGAGAACCATTTAAATTCATTCAAAAAAAATTCCCACACAAAAAGACTCGAAAACCACTTCATTTAAGTAAAAACCACGGCTAGCTAAGTTAATGTCGTTTCACATGGTTTTTATCAAACGACAAAAAACGAAAGGTGGTTTTTGAAGTGTTTTTGATTAAAAACTATTTAAATATGCCCAGAAGTAAAAACTAGTCATAAAAAGTTGAAAACCATTTGGTTAGTTTGGACCCTAAAAACCAACGCCGAAAACCGAATGCCGAATGCCGGTTTCTGAAACCCGAACGCCGGATGGCTTGGTTTTTGGTTTGGGCGAACACCAAGTGTTTTTAATGTTTTATACATCTTTGAAAAACATTTTTATGATGTGTGAAATGCATTGAAAATAATTTTAGCCTAAAGAGCCAAGGTGTAAAGATTGGGTCGGTCTTGATCACAATAAAGACCGACTCAACGATGCTAAGACTAAGGTCTTCGTTCTTGGTCTTCGTTTGGATCTTGTTCTCTTTCTTATCATCTTTGGTTCTCGCCTTGTATATTCAATGACTTGTCTCGTTCACGGCGGTTTGGCATTATCAAAACCTGTCATAACAACGAACGCCGGCTTTAGTACGAAAACGTGATAAACCCGTGTTTCAACAATTTCCCCCTTTTTGATAATGGCAAACAAGACGCGGTCATGCATAGGAGGATTGATTTGAGACTTAAAAAATGTCCCCCCTTAATAAATGCAATTTAGAAATAGTTCCCCCTCAATCTATGCATAACCTTTATATCTTCCCCCTTTTGACATTAGCAAAAAGCACTTCAAAAAAAAATTGTAAAAAAAAAAAGAACTCCTTGAACATTGATGTTTGATACTGAACATCGATGTTTGAAAATGTCCTGGAGCATCAATTGTCAACAATATCGTAAAACGAGCTTCCCCCTTGATGCGGTTCATTGGGTTCCGTGCTTGGAGCATCCACTATAGGTCTGTAGTCTTCAAGCACACCCTTTTGTGTATCTAGTAATACCATTGAGGTACCCTATAGCTTTTGGGTCCTTGGGGGTTAGGCAAATAAAAATCATAATCATAATTATAAGAAGTGTCCCTATGTTTAGCAAAACACACGGGAGCTATGTGTCCTATCTTAGAACAATAATGACATACTACGTTTGGATTATGCATATGCCTAGGTTGAGCCAAAAACTTTCTAGGTGATCTAAAATCATTATTCATAGAATTATTAACTAAATTCCTAGACTCATTTCTAGGTTGTCTCAAAATATTTCTACCATTTGTAAAAATCCTAGAGTCAATTCTAGG